AAAAAAAAAAAAAAAAAAAAAATCTTGAGAAGAAGGAAAAAACATAAAACATAAATAGAAGACAAAAAGCATTTTCCAGGTAGCTCAACTTATCGTTGTTTTCAAGTATTTTCTGCCAAACTATGAGGATACATCTGGTTCAAGACAGCAGATTCATCATCACTGGGCATCTTTTTTTCTTTTTTTTTGGTCTTTCACAAATCTATTAAAACGATGATTAAAAAGGAAAATAAAAAGGGAATTAAAAAATTACAAAAAAAAAAAAGGAAATGAAAACAAATTAAGGAAATTAGAGGTAATCTCCACCAGCAAATATGTTTAAACACACCTCTGCAAAGCAGAGTTAGAGAAGTTGTAAAGCACAAACTGGGAAAGGGGAAAGGATCCCCAAAACCTAAGGTAAATCCACAGACACAAAAGACGGAGCTGGGGCCACCATGCAGAACCTTGAAGGAGCTTGGGGCTAGTTCCCACCAAACCACATCGATCAGAAATCATCAGTACCCTGCAGGCTAAAGAATTGTGGACAAGCAGAGTTTGTTCCCCTGTTAAAACAAGAAATACAGTTACATGCTACTTAAATCTGATTTTGAGTTGTAAAAAGTAAAGACTAAAATCATCCTGGTTTCTCTGAAATAGAATTCCATTCATTTTGAGTTTCCAGAGGACCAAGAGAGCAAAGGTTCTTTTCACCAATCATCTCACCCTACTGGCTACTTTCCAATTTGTTTAAATTTCAAAAAGACCCAAATACCATACTCACTCTCATAGAAAGGATATCATTATCACACCTGAGTAAGTTCCCACCAAATACCCTTTAGAGCTGTTTTCTTTCTTCCCTCCAATCCAGGATCCAATCAAGGATCATGGACTGCGGCTCTCATGTTCATGACCAGGTTTCAGGCTGCACAATTCTTTCCAGAGACTTCCGGTGTATATATTGTCTGCACAAGTAGGCTGTACTCTCTTTAAGGGCAAGGCTTTTGTTTTGTGCCTATGGGTAAAGGTTAACAAGCCCCTGTCCCTAGGGTGTGAGAATCTAACTTTAAGTTAAACTCTAGCTCTGTTATCCAAGTTACCCGATAAGTGTCAGGGTGCCATCACTGTTTCTTAGACAACCGGCTTATGGTAAAAATGACCCTTGCCTGGTCACTTGCATCTGAACTGGGATAACTATCAGTGAGCTATTAATGGGAATACCATGCTTTTTGGCTTTTCCTGAGTGCAGTGACACTTGTAACTGCATGTCCCTGTGGCCCCAGAAAGCTACAATTGTTACAAGAGATTCTGGTTTCTGTGGGGCATTAGGCTCTAAGCCAGGGTAACCCTACACCTGTCCGATGTGGCTCTCACTTCCTTGTACCTGTGTGACTGTGACAAGAACACTAATTGAAGAAGAATACCTGATGCCAACCCCCTCACAAGCTATGTTCCTGTCCTACATCCTTCTGAATACACAGAGGAACCATATGTGGGCTGTGGTCATCTTAGGAATCTGAACATTGAATTGAATTTAGGAAGACCTCCTTGTGGCACTGCATCACCCTTGGCTAATTCCAGCAAAATTTGGCATCATTTACTTACTATCTTCCATTACAAAAGCAGGTAACATTTTCAATGCTGTGAAAACTATCAACCAGCATATATTAAACTCCTACATGAATGTTTCAAACCATTTAAAGCAAAAAAAAAAAAAAAAAAAAAGGCTTAAAGAAAACTAGTAACACAATGAACAATATTTTAGCCAGCTACTTTGTAACAATTGTTAAGTCAATTTTACTACTTCCACATTAATTATTCTACTGTTTCTCAAAAAACAAATGTTTATTTTTAGGCCCAGGCAGTGACTCATTCATGTAATCCCAGCACTGTGGAAGGCCATGGCAGGCAGATGACTTGAGGCCAGTAGTTCAAGACCAGGATGGACAACATGGAGAAACCCCATATTTACAAAAGTTAGCCAGGTGTGGTAGCATGCACCTGTAATCCCAGCTACTCAGGAGGTTGAGGCAGGAGAATTGCTTGACCCGGGAGGCAGAGGTTGGAGTGAGCTGAGATTGTGCCACTGCATTCCAGACTGGGTGACAAAGCAAGACTCTGTCTTAAAAAGAAAAAAATTAACCAGGAGTGGTGGCACATGCCTACAACCCCAGCTACTAAGTAGGCTGAGGGACAAGAATCTCTTGAACCCAGGAGTAAGAAGCTACAGTAAGCTGAGATGGCCCCACTGCACTCCAGCCTGGGTCACAGAGACTGTCTCAAAATTAAAAATTAAAAAACTAATACATACTACCTTTGCTTTTTTCCAGCCCATTTACCAATTCCTAAGCCACTATTCTAAATAATCTTCTAGGCCGGGAGCGGTGGCTCATGCCTGTAATCCCAGGGAGGATTTGGGAGGCTGAGGCTTCGTGGATCACGAAGTCAGGAGATTAAGACCATCCTGGCCAACATGGTGAAACCCCATCTTTACTACAAATACAAAAATTAGCTGGTTGTGGTGGCTTATGCCTATAATCCTGGCTACTCAGGAGACTGAGGCAGGAGTATCACTTGAATCAGGGAATCAGAGGTTGCAGTGAGCCAAGGTCACACCACTGCACTCCAGCCTGGTTACAGAGCGAGACTCTGTCTCAAAAATAATAATTTTCTAATATGAAGAGCCTCTTACCAACAAACTCTACCCCAATCTCTTCTATTAACAACTCTGAAATCAAAATGCAGACCATGCACGCAATGGAACATCAAAGGTACATCCTAATCCTACATGGGAAGGCACCCTAACTCTATACATCCTCCAAATTCCAGAATAATAAATCAGTCACATTGCTTTTATGACAATCAGAGCTACCAGGTTCTCAAATATAAATAAGTAAAACACTAATAATTTTTTAACCAAAAGATGAACATTTTAGTGTCAGATGAATCAGCAGATAAGTATAATAATCAGTTTTATTAACATTCTATTAAGCAAAAGCAATAAAAGTATTAGCTGGATAGAAATCTATTTTTAGCCAGGTGAGGTGGCTCACACCTGTAATCCCAACACTTTGGAAGGCCAAGGCAGGTGGATCACCTGAGGTCAGCAGTTCAAGACCAGCCTGGCCAAC